GGAATGTCCCGGGATTTGATTTTATAGGCGGAAAAAAAAAAGATGCATGGCAAAACGCGTGCCCCACGCTTTATTTATATCAGAAAAAAACTGCCCTCTGTTTTATATACGTTTTTTCTTTTCTTTTTTTTTTCACCTACTAGATATTAAAGGAAAACAAACGTGAAAATGAACGCAATTAGCGGCGAGATGTTTTGGTGGCGCCCTCCCACGGTTCCCCCTTGTGACATCATTATTTTGCGAAGAACAAGTTCGATGGTCTTTGTAAATAGCATGGTGGAAGCCTGAAATCATTGCGCTCTCAAAGCAACACTGCCAACACCGTCAAAATTGAAGTTCTTTCATTCCTCTTATTTCCGTCGATGGTATACCCTTTCCGACGTCATAGTCAGCTTTTGGGCCAATCGTGGAAGGCCGACCACAGCGACGCTTTAGGTCGCGCACGTCACCAATTGCGCTTTGTGGATTTGAGCTATACGGCCAGGCAAGGATTAGAGGTTCAAGAAAGAACGCAACTAAAAACCTACTGATTACCTAAAATTTAATAATGAGCTTGTTAATTATAAAAGAAAATGACATAGTTTATTTAGAACGTTGTTGGGCATAATCGAAAGCCACTAAATTGTTCAGTGAAAATTAACGCAATTGCGGTTTATGGATGTGAGCTTTACCGCCAAGCGAGAATTAGGTTCAAGAAAGAACTCAACAGACTGATTGCCTAAAATTCGATAATTAACCTTTTAGTTAGGAAAGAAAACTGCATAGTGTATTTAGAAAGTTGTTGGCCATAATCGAAAGCCACCATACCAACGCGCGTACACTAATATACGGCGCCTGATAACGCGTCCTCCTCATTTGGGCGCGAAAATGTAGTTCTGATTTGATGTCACCATCTCCGCGTGGCACAGCCTAACGCCATGAAGCCAAAGGGATAAATCATGCGCCATGCTGTGACAACGCCACTGTAGAAGGGGCGAGGAGCGCGGCGGCCAAAAAGATTGTGGTAACACGATTCGCGTCCAAATTTGTTTTTTAGGACGCCGTGAACTACTTCACGTGCGTTACATCTCTCTAAAAATGAATGATTGGGTGTTTTTGATGACTACAAATAAGGCACAAACCGCAGTTGCGTAACTCTGACGTCTTTTTTAGAAAAATGTCTAGTTGTTAAAAAAATCACCCTCTATAAACACGATTGTAAGGCAGGTTTTTACGGCCGGCGACATCATTACGGCATGGAAGGAGACGTTGACCACAGATCATACTATGTGTATAATCTGTGGTCACTTTTTTCTTCGTACGAGAATGAACAAACATTTGGTACCAAATAAAATAGATTTAGTATTCACCAAATTCGGCGTGTTTACTTGATTCAAATCGATATTTGATTTTATTACACTTAGTTTGTACCCTCCACACGTCTACTTTATTCCCTATTGAGTTACAAGTGATAACTTACATTGTTTTTCGTCGTGTAAGGTTCTTAACAATTTATTATTGACAAATTATTAACGATCGGAGCTATACAATTACGCGAGGCGCATTTGAAGATATTCGAAATTGTTCTGAATACACAAACAACTTCTCAAGCTTCCTGCTGTTCGGAGTCTTTCCTACACGCAGTACCAATAATAAAGCCAAAACCTTATAGAGGAGACCTTCGCTGCCGACTCAACGCGCAAACACGATGTGAAGCGTGTAGTGCGTACGTTGGAAAAGAGATACCGGCGAGCGAACGATAGCGTCGAATGTCCAGAGATCAAAATGTCCGTGCACCGAAATATCCGTGCAACGAAAAGTCCCACACCGAAAAGTCTTTGCAGCAAAAAGTCCGTACACTGAAATGTCTGTGCACCAAAACGTCCGCACCGAAATTCTCTACAGCAAAACGCTCTACACCGAAAAGTGCTAGATCCACCACGGATGGAATCCTCCGTCATCTATGGACCGCCATCCCTGAGATACCGAAAAACGCCGCTCCTACTTCCCGTTGTCGCCATGAATTCGCCTAAACAACGAAAGATTCCAAACTATATATTCATATTAAAATTGATACTTCAATGACTACTTATTCGAACAGAACAAGTTATTTGTTCTCTCACAACGGGGAGAATCGTCCTCCAAGCCAATACTGAAATAAGTCAATCCAACTCGTTGGGAGCTCGCTCAAAAGTCAAAACAGCTCCTCGGTTGGTTCAGCTCCTTGTCGCAGGTGTGCCGGCTGGCTTCTGGATAATCTTTTCAAATCCTTCAAGCTTTGATTTTCCCCACCCCAAACTTGCCCCCCAAAAAAATCAGGCAGCCGGCAAAAAAAAAAAATCGAAAATGGCAAGGAGGCAAACGAGAGGCGATTTCCTCCTTTCCCAGTGGCGAGAAGGAAAGTGGGGGTCAAGTTCCTTCTCTCTGCTTGCGGGCCGGCCTTTAAAGGCCGCCGTACAAACGGGCCGTTCTGCAGGGAAGAACCTTCTCTCCCGAAGTTGCGGGACGGGGAGAGAACAGGCCAGCGAAGGATGGAAAGAGCGTCGACAGAATGGGATTTGCCTCGGGGCGAGCTATCCTCTCGAGAGGGAGTGGGGACGGAACAAAGCTGCCGTGGGGGTTCCGGCAGCCAGGTGGAAGAAAGATAAGCTTGTCAAGCGGCGACCTTGGATGCGGGGAACGGGCACGTCAGAGAATTTGAAAGTAGCCTTCCCGGTTGTGGTCTCGTGCTGCTTGATGAGCTGGACGACCCAGTGCGGTCAAGGCTTTACAAGGTGATTCGGATGAGCTGTTGTTGTTGAGTGTTGTTACACACGGGAACAGGGAATGCCTGCACGTATGATTCGGATGAGGAAAACTGGCTTTGCTCCAAAAGTCAAAAATGATTCGGGTGAGGAAAATTAATTTTGCTCCAAGAGTCTAAAAGCATTCTGGAACGTGAATTCTGGCCATAAATAAAATAAACACATGTATGAAAAACTACGAGGGCGCCTAAGCTTTCTCTTATGATGTGAGAATGGATGAGCTTACCCTTGGCCGAATTATGTTGGTGCAACGTTAGCGCGCTAGGTTCACGATCAAGAGGGCCTAGCGTCGAAATCGGCAAAAAACTGGTTTTCACTCGGTTTTTTTTTTTCGTTTTTTTTTTGTTTGGTCGCGTGAACAGATTTTTTTTTGTCACGTGACCAAACTTTTTTTCTTATTTTTCCTTTTTTTCTGTCTTTTTTTTTTTTTATCGGTTTACGCTCCCTTTCGCAAAAGACACTTTGCACCTATTTCGTGTTACTTTGGCTTTAGCCAAATCAGTTTTTTTCTTATGGCAGGGTATTCTGCCGTACGTATCTTATGTTAATATTACCAACCCTGGCTTGCAATTCGCATAACAATTTTGTCCGGCAACGAGTTCGGGAATGACAAGGTTAACTCTGTGTTATAATTTTTTTTAGGTCTAAGCACAATCTTGACCTCGTTGTCCGTCGGTCTCTATGATAGGCTTTTCTAGTATCCTTTGGGAAAGTAGACGACAGGAATTTTTAGAGAGTACCTGTGTCAACCAAAGTGGACATCGCTGAAGCGACTCTAGTGTGATTTTAGCCGTAAATAACTAGAGGCCCCTGGCAAACCCACCCAATGTAGAAAAGTATCTACCTTTCTGGTTTCATACAGAGCTATGAAAGCCAGAAAAGACGAACCCTAGTTGAGTCAAACAACCGGTTTGCAAACGCAATCGTGTTGATAATAGCGCCAAGGAGTTTGTATGACTTTTTCTCGTGGTGTGCAGAGAGTGAAGCCACGGAGGTAATGCTTTTGCCTATAGTCACCTCGCGAATAGATCGGTATTGGCTGCAGAGATCTATTTGGCTTTGTTTTATTACCGTGATTATATTTTGATTTTTGTGTTCCTAATTTCACAGACAGAAATCGCTTTTTTCGCGTGACGTCACGGCGGGGAAACAAGAATCAATCAGTGAACCGAAATTGTAGCGACGCTTGTGCTCGTTCTATAGCGCCTCTAAAAAACGTGCGATCACGGCTGTGCAACGTCAACATTGCATAAACTGCCGTTAATTGTACTCGTATTGCATCGTAAGGGAACGACTATGACTGGGTAAACAGGAATAGGTGGAATGGGTGCGTGTGATTTGTTGAAGTTCGATTCAACAAATCGAGCTTCACGAAATCCGATAGTATTGAATTCACTCAACCTGCTATATGAGTTTTCAGATGGAGTGTATAACGGTATACACCTTCCAAGTATGCGATTCGTGTTCTGCCAGTGGTACAGGTCCCCTCAAAGTAAAACGGAGCGCCGGAGCGGCGACCGAACTGCATCGTCACGCTATCTAGCAGCGCCGGCTGCAACTGATAGGTGCCGTCTGCGCATGCGCGCGTGCCGTCCGCGGTGTCCTTCGTCTTTCTTGTTTGATCCTCGCATCATCGGCGTCTCGAGCTGCCAAATGCTGTTCCGATAAACACCGCTAGGTGTTCGGCTCACTCGCAGAGATAACGTTGAGGGCAAGTGCGAAAGGGCGAGTGCGGTCGATGAGCGCTGCCCCTTGTGCTATCAGGCGCCGATCTTAGGAAGATCGTTGCGTCGCTCGAACCAACGATATCGTGCGGGTTGGAAGAAGGAAACGAAGGCCCCAGCGGAAGGCGCGTTCGCATGCGCAGATGTAGCCTATCAGTTCCAGCCGGCGCTGATAGATAGCGCGGCGATGCAGTTCGGTTGCCGCTCCGGCGCTCCGTTTTACTTTGAGGGGACCTGTACCTCAGCTAGACTGAAACGCAAAACCAGCGTTGAAAAAACAAAAAAAAAACAAAAAAAAACAAGGTTTACGGTGACTTGAGCCGCTCCCGCGCCGAATTATGTTTCACGTAAGCATAATCTTGGGTTCGATGCACGACGAGATGTTTTCATTCATAAAAATATTTTGATTACGATGATTATCAGCGCTAGAAATTTGAAAGCCAAGCAATGAAGACAACGGTGTTCTTATATATATTATGTACATTTTATTTTGCTCTGTTTGAATACGCTGCCGTCGTTGTGTCCTTGCTTTTTTGACCAATCAGGTAATGGGCAGGGTTTCAGGGGCTGAAAAAAAAAAGGTAACGTTATTAAATACACAGCGTGGAAGTGCACCAAAATAGTTTTTCGCGCACAAGGACTTTTTTGCTAGGAATTGGGGGAAAAAGTAAGTACAAGAAAGGGGAACGCCAATCAACGGGCAACATAAAGGACGCGCAAAGAGCACGCAGTGACGAAGCAGAAAAGCACACGGTAGCACTGGTTGAGATGAGGGGTAAACAACAGTACGTCAGCGCATTTGAGGGGCCCTATCCACTTCCAGGTGTAGCGTGGCGCGCATGTGCAGTTGGTGAGACGTTGACCGGAGCGGAAAATGAACTCCCTAGTGGAATTGAAGATAAACTCGTGACCGTATTTGAAATTTATTTTTAGGGGCATTACTTCTAGCTGCTACGCTGCATCAAGTTTTCGCTCACGATTTCTGACATAAAACATTTAGAGCAAGGTATACCTTGATTTCGGGAGCCATTTTCAGGGATGGACTCGTCCGTTTCTTGGCTGGACTCCTTCAAGGCTGCAGTTTCAAGGAGCAGGCGGCGGATCTTCTGTGTGAAACTAAAATAAAAATAATTTATTACGCGCTTGTACTATCGGTACAATTCACTGGTCTTGGACATGGGAGGTTTTATATCAAATAATATTAAAGCTTATTACTTGAAACACTGATTGAAAACAGAAACAGCCCTGATAAGAAACAAAACTAGGTCTCTCTCATATTGAAATAATCAACTATTCAGTAGCTAGATTGAGGCCTTAGGTTGTAATAATTTCGTTGGCCGAGATAACTCCGAAGACCGCAGTGATTGGCTCTCCCTAGTGTTCTCATTGGAAATGGACGCATGGAATATTTTTAGGCGCATACAGGTGCTCATTTATAAAATACATGCACGAGGCAAGCCAACCAGTTACAATTACCACAGGACCTATGAAAGTCATTAAATCAATAGTTCCATTTCAGGGCCACTTCATTTGCTTAGGGTATCACCGAGTATATGCTACCTCTCTTATATACGTGCTAACATTTTTAGTATTTTTTCGTATATTAAATAGAGCTTTCCCCCCGTAACATTCCAGCAATGTTCACCAACGATAGTTCTGCGAGAGTTAGTTGCGAGATGATGGTCATACCTAAACGTCTTTTTCGTGTACTTCTTCTTCCCCCCCTGTCGATCAGGATGACAGGCGTCCTCGACGAAGTACGTCGACGTATACTGCCGACCGACATGCTCATTCCAATCCAGGACTGCGAGACCCTGTCTGAGGTTGTAGGAGCGGTCCATATAATGAACTCGCTTGTCTATGTAGATCAACATGGTGTTGTTGAAGGACTCCACGTGGTAGGTGTCTTTTGCTTGGATGTATTCCCCAGCATTCTTGAAGACTGTTGTCGATCTCAAAAAAGTAGACAGGAGATTCTCTGCGACTGGATCTTGGATCAACAGCGTACTCGGAACATGCCCCGCCGCCTTACAGGGAGAGTCCTCCACGCAGTTGGAATGGCGTCCACAAAAGTGGTCAACGCAGTTCAGCAGCGTCGTCCTCAGTTTGGTGGCACTACCATCGCACGTTGCCATAGCAAAATATACATGGTTCCTCACCAACTTGCACTTGTCCGAAAGCTCAGGGTGCCACGTCTTACCTTCACTTTTTTGGGGGCCAAACGCTATCGTTTTCATTCCTTCGAGTGTTCCTTTGGTGGCGTGCCATCAGTCGTTGGAGTTCGTTGTCCCATTACGCTCTGTGATAATCTTGTTGACCGTCGTGTTTCTGTCGTGTGAGTGGTCAGTAACTGAAATGTTTCTTTCATCAAAGTACTTGTAGAGTTTTCGCGTTCCAACGGCTTCGTGTTTTTGTGATGATGGCTCCTCTTTTTTTGGTAATATGTACAATTCCCACCACCTTGTGGGTCTTTTGCCCTAGGGCAATAACGTCACTATGAAACGATTTTTTTCTGCAGGCGTGCCTGGCGTCTGTTTCGATGCTCAGCGATGAAGTCGAGAATTCTGGCTGATCTGTTAATCTCGCTTCCTCTTGCTGAGCGGCTCTCAGTAACTCCATTACTGAAATCTCCACCGCAGCACCAATCTGTATAGTGAGCTTGTCGAGTGTTCGACGTGAATAAGGGACTCCACTGAACAAGCAAAACTTTTCAAATTGAGTTCCCAGCATTCCGCTGCACACGAAGGCAACTCCCACAGAGCAGTCCACAACTCGCAGATCTCCAACACTGGAGCTCGTATCTAAAACTAAAGTATGTTCATGGCATCTCAATTCTAGGCGAGCTGCGAATCCCCTTGGTGTCACCTTGACGATTACGACATCTTCTGGACACCTCCGAGCGTGATCTTGGACAGCGTTGACCATCTTGGATAGTGCTGACGAGTCGCAGAGTAAAAGTGATGGTTCCTCGCTGCCCCTCTCTGCCACTAGTGAAGCAGCCTTGTTCACTCGCCGGTTCTCATCATCAACTAACATCTGTACTGCTTTTGTGATGACACCAGCTAACGGTTCATCATTGCGTGCATGCTTCGCCTTTTTCAGCAAGTCATCAAAGTTGCTCATTTCTTCTTCGCAGGAAAATGTCAGGTTTATAGTTCTGCGGAAACTTTTTCTGGTGCAGGTATACTCCTTCTCTGTTCCATCGCTCAAACGTTTTTTTGAAACGAACGAAGAATAGGCTGATGCTTTATCCATCTCTGCTACCGCTGCTACCGCTGTCAGAAAGAACGGCATATATACGTATAAGCACCCAACGAAATATTGCAACGGCTACTACAAATAACCATGAGTTGGACCAGACATTTCATCGAACGCCGTTTCATCGAAGCCGTTTCTCAAAATTTTTTTAAACGCCGTTTTATCGAATGCCTTTTCATCGAAGTCGTTTCATTGAACGCCTTTTCCTCCAATACATTAGAGATGACTGTTGTACAGCTCCCTTTTCGCAATTACGTGAGGCGGTACACTGTTCACTGTAAGTTAGATGAAGTCACAACCAAACATTTTTTTTTAATTTTATTTTAATCACTTGAATACCGAAATTAAAAAAGGGATGTCTCATTTTACTTTCATCGCGGACTGACTAATATTTTTTGAATGAAACGTGCATTTTCTCTATGAAACGGCGTCAATAAAACGGCGTTCGATGAAATTTCCGGGAACCGACTACAAAACACCCAAAACAATGTATGATTCACTAATAGCATCAAACGAAACATTTGGGCAATAACTTCAAAATACGAGACGTGCCTTGCGTGGCTGAGGAGAACTTCTTTGTTTCACATCGTTTGCAAATTGCAACAAACGTCAGTAATTCTAGTCATCAATCTCTGGGGCATATCCGCAGGAGAAAAAAAGAGTTAGTGAGTTTGTGACGGACAGGGAGGTCTTGCAAGCCCATATGATAGGACCTACACAAAACCTGCCGTGCTTCGAAAAATGCTAGTCCAACCAATACCTAAAAGCTTGTTCAAGGCGGACGTAGCGTTGCGCACCCGGCAAAGCGCACTCAATCGCTGCCCGTGGCGTCTTCTTTTTTTTTTTTTTCTTTTTCGAGCAGCGAAATAATTTTTAGTCAAGCAGCAGACCCCCCTTCGGCGGGTTAAGCCGGATTAACCGGAGGCGTCTCCTAATCCATTCTCCGTGTTGGTCCCTCGGGGGAGGGCGGTAAACAGGTGGCGGAGGGCGGCGGAGGGAGGAAGGAGGGCAGGAGAGAAGGAAACACGAGAAAGTGGAAAGCGCGAACTGTACGGCGGCCTTTAAGAAACATTAGACTTGCCTCAGGATAGGGCCAAGTCAAAAAAAAAAGCCCAAGAAATTATTTAGTTAAAACATCCTCTACATATGATCATATCATATGATCATATGATCATGAGTGATAACAACAAAACTACAGGTCCCAACATTAGTGTAGTGTTAAGGCCCGCTCATACTCTTGCAATTGAGTAAGACCGAGAGAGACAAGACCGGTGTTTAAGCCTCTTGCGACGTCTTTAGGACCAGCTCTGCAGCAGCGCACTTTGTCCTAAGACGTCGCAAGAGGCTTAGAAACAGGTCTTGTCTCTCTCGGTCTTACTCTGTTGCATATTTGTGAAGGAGCCTTTGACTTGAAGCTGCAACTTGTAGGACAAAACATTAAGCTGTAAAAACAGCACCCAATGATTATGCTCACGTGTCATTGATGCGACACATAAACAAACATACACTACGATTGGTTAGTTTGCACTCCAGCACACAAGTTATGAACCTATTCGCTAGCCGTGTGTGCCTCCTGTACCACACCTTTTTTGGAAAAAATAAAGGTGATTATCGACTGGCTGGTTAGATATACTTTGACGATTGTACTGTAGCATTCCCAATACCACCCAGAACACAAGGCCTACAGTTTCCTCCTCTAACTGTTACCACCAGTAGATTCCCGCAGCGCCACCTACCTTGCATCAAGTAGCCGCGAGCATGTTCCCAACACACTTTTTGCATTCACAACAAGCGCAATGCTGGAGCGTGGCGACGCCAAGACGCTGGCATCTGACGCCTTGCCGCTAGCGTCTGCTGCATAACCGCATACTCTAGTCGAGCTTAGGCATGTTTGCCGCTTGGAGCAGGTCGCGGATCGACTAACGATGATGTAATATGCAGGCCTTGTGCTCTAGTTAGTAATGGTAATCCCACCCCCAAAAGAATCGTTTGCGAGTTTTTTTTTTTTTTTTTATCACACTCGAAATGTGCAAGACCTGGTTGACCTTTTATGATGACAAAAAATGACAAGATTATGTGACTACATGTTTCACATGTTTTGCCAGTGTTTTATAGGGGTTTAGAAAAGTGAATGCAAGACACCCTACTCGATAGCAGCTGTGGCGTGAATAATGGAGGCTTTGATTTATTTTAGGTGTTCGAAATTTTTTTAAGCATATGAACTAAAATGTCAGGTCAAACGTTTTGACACATTGTATGCATGAGATACGATATTGAATAGCGCCATGGTGCCAAGCTAAAAGCAGCTCAGTTAATAGATTACTCACTAGCTATAAAACCAAAGCATAAAATAGAGCTTTAAAAATGAAAACGATTTCATGCTGCGCCTTGTACTGTAGAACCTGATATTGAACCACAGCAACAAGGCACATGCTAAGAGGTGAGGATTCTTTTTTCTTCGGTACTTGGTCGAACATACAAAGAAACTTGATTTTGATTAATGTTCATTACTTTCGATAGGATTAGTGGCTGGCACGAAAATTCTAACCCTTACCGAAAGAAACTTTTCCCCCATATTCATTTACCTCTGCAAGAACGCCATAGTGAGAGGGCAGCCAGATGGATAGCAGATATTGGACACGAAGAAAGCTCCAAGAAGGAGCCCCATTGCCTCCTCCATGCTCGTTGTGGTGATGCATTCCTCTCTCTCGACCGCGAGGACGATCCTGTGGATGTCACCCATGCTTGAGCCTGTGCGGAAACAAAAATACAGTTTCGGAAAACACCACGCGGGCAGCTTTCTATGTTCGAGAACAATTACCTTGGGGACATAAATCATTCGGTGTTTGGAAAGCACATATCCTTGCTACCAATGACGGGACGAATCTTTATCCCAATTTGAAAGAGCTACCGAATCTTGTATGAATCGGATAAGTTTGGTAAAATTCAGAGCGCTGCGAGCCTATGTTAAGGAATGTTTCAAATGTTTGTAACATAAATGTTCGTAAAGCCTACAAACGTAGCGGAAGATATGTGAATGTGCCCATTTATTTATTCATAATTAAACCTTACCTATCCACTTTTTATTGCTTGGGTGCAGATTGCTTTCGCAAAAGAATGTAGGCATGTTGTCATGAAACCGAAACAAAGTTTACCGCCAGGGTTGGCAGCTAGAGCACCTGACCGTTCGTGCATTTTTTTTAACACGTCCATGCTTGGCGAGAAGAAAACCAGCCAGAGCACCGACGTTCAGCTCATTCATTCAGAGCCATGATGCGCCTCAAGTGAATCTTATGGCAGGTCGGGGCGGCAAAGAAACCAAGGCGGAGAGAAAGGGGGGGGGGGGGGGGGGGGGGGTAAGCGTGCTGCTGATTCTCCGCTGAATCGCACCGGCTAGCGTGCCGTATGAGGTTCGTACATATCAGCATTCCAAGAAAATAAATTTGCTGTGCAACATTTTTCGTGCCACCATTCATATAGGGCCTGGGTGCTTGAGAACCAGCCAAGTTTTCTTCCGGGTATTAAAATTACCGAAGCCTAATGCAAAATATGACGACGGGGCACCTGCTTCCGCTTCAGCAAAAGACAGGGGCTTTAATCACATCAGTTTTTTTTTTCCAAAAGCTTGTATCCATAGCAACGCTAAGAAAGAGGTGTAGGCCACTAATTTCAAACATTATCAGGGTAAAAGCTAAGGCAACGTTAGCGGAATTCATCTGTTCATATCCAGTCTCTAGCCCACAATCAGCAGACTACAAGCTTAAACGTTGTGATCAACTGGCCGTTTTTAAACAATATGCACATTTCTTTATAAGCGCAACAAACAATACAACTTGACCCTTGTATGTCATAAACCGACACACGAGTTGGCAGCTTT